TTCCCCATCAACAATATTGAAACCCCACTACTAAAATAAATTTAAAATGTCATGTTAAAGTAAGAACATAGCTTGATTTTTTTACCCAATATACAAAAAAATATACTCATATTATTTTTCTAGGCTCTATCTATATAAATTTGGGCATATTTTGTGACAGCGTTGCTGTGATCTAAAAATCCAATTTTCAGATAATCTTATATTGGGAAACACATTTTTCCTGTACTCCATTACTATGGTATTGTGGACTGTGGATTGTCTAAACAGCATGCTAACATCTTTATTCTCTTCCTCTGATGGGCTAATCATTAGTCACCATATCTTTATGAAAGTCAAGAAATCTTTAAGGAAACTTCAGAAAGATTTTAAGAATCATCATACTTGTCACTGATAAATATTACTCCCACAGAATTCTATAATTTTAAGAATCAATGTTAACTTTTTTTTGTTAAAACTTCCTTCTGAAGATGTTGAGTATTTTGTAAAGACAGACTTCAAACTAAGTGGTGACTAAACAAAGCCCTTACAAAAGGCTTGGAATAGGATTTCAAAGTAGTTTTAATTAAAGACATTTGAAAATAACCAGGAAAAAAATCTCACACATGAATAAATGATTTTCAGAAAACTACTTAAAAATTCAAATTAAATCTTATTCATTTAAATATCAAAATAAGTATAAAACAAAACTTAAATAAATGACAATATACATACATCAGCTTTCAATGGTAGCTGCTTATAAAAATGAGTATCTGAGAGTGTATTCTAATTCCATCCTCTTCAAATTGTGCAGCGTAGATAAATGTTTATTTTACTGAAAATATTTGTAAAATTACAATATAAATACATGATTGTATTAAGATAGTATGACTATATATAATGTATTCTTATCTATAGATATAAAACGAATGCAGTAAATATAGCACACTCTCAATGAATTGTTAGTACACAGTGTTTCTCAGTAAAGTACATACAACCTATTATTAAACACAGTTATGTAATTTTAAAATGTACATCTCAGGAATTTTTTAGGATGGAAGGATACACTAAATCCTCAAATGCCCCTTTTAGTTGGTACTTATGTAAATTTTGAGATATTTTATTTATTTATTTAGCAACTTAGTAGGCTTTTTGCATTTCCTTAACTTGAAATTTTATTTCTTTAATCTGGGTATTTAAAAAATATGAGACAGCCATACTTTGAATTCTAGTAATCATGTACTATCCTTTTTGTTCGTTACTTAAACATATATCAACAATGAAATAGAATCATTAAAAATTATTTTATCTGGACAAATTCCCAAAATTAACTTTCAGAGTATTATGAAGAGTCTCAAGTAGATACTCAAATGCAATACTCATCTGGATTAGAAAGTTTTTAAAATTTATTCTAATCCTTAAGAATAAAAATATGAATGCTAAAATTTTTTGTTAAATGCATTGGGATTTGTTTCAAATGCATCTTCTACCCTTCTCCATTACACTGATTTAATGGAAAGCTGCTACCAACAACAGTTCCAACACAAACATATGCATGCAAGAGATTACCCTACAGATTCTAACTACATAGTTATGGAAACACATCCCACCTGTCAAGGGACATAAATATACATCTTCTATATACAAAAGGTAAAGTGCATTATTAAATTAGTGAACTGACAGATTGTCTGCCTGGACCATATAGCTTTCAAATAGACAAATGTGAAATTCTCCCATTAGAACCAATTATTCCAAGAGGTTCCAACTAGCTTTTTCACCCTGTCTTTTTTTTTTTTTTTTTTGGCCATGCTCTTTAGTGCAAATAAGCTTGTGTTTGACTCAAGTTTAAGGGACATGGCAGTTTGGGGCTTTAAAAAGGAAAATTATAAAATGTGGCAGAACTTTAATACCTTTATAGTACATTGCAGCTTTTGCATATAAGCAGCAGATTAGTGCTGCTTTTAATTGCTAGGAGCATACTGCCAACCATTACAAGGAACCCGTTTCCAAATTTCATACTATTAGCTTATATTATTACAGTTTGAGCCTGTACCACATTATGCTTGGGTTATTATGTGCAAACATCATCAGTTTTAGCCTCATACAGTGAACTAGTAATTTTGGTTACTAACTTCAATGCTCATGTTTTACTTCTAACTTCTAACGCCTTAAGAGATTGAGGTCTTCCAGGCAAAGATCCTGTTATTTCAAAGAATACCATGTACACTTGCAGCTTCATTTATGTTACAAGTGATGATAAATAAAATGTATATTGCACAGATAAGAATAGTAGCTTATTTAATAAGATACATGGCAATACATGTCCTAATACCAGAGCTTTGAACTGGATCATGCTTACTTATGGCTAATGAATTCTAGGAAATTTTAAGTATCAAAAATCATAGTATCATCTTAGTTTTTAGTGAATACATTAACTATGAAAAGGTAAAATAAAAGGACTGGTAGAAGCCTTAATTTTAGAGTATATTCATTTCCTGATATATAAGCATCTATCCAATCTGTATTTTGGAAATGGTTAAAAACTCTGAAGTATACGTGATAAAAAATTTGGCTGCTTAATTAACTCTTTACTTAATGCAAAATTAAATGAATAATATTATATACAATGAATCGAGGATAGTTACCTTTAAGTCTGATGTAATATTGTGTGTGTATATATATGCACACTCAAATCTTATCAGACTAAAAACAAAAAAGAAATCATACAATCCTAATGGATATAAATATTTTAAAAAGGAAGGTTTTAAGAGAGTGTACACTCATAGCAATAGTGATAGGAACAATTGAACACTGGAATATTCACAGCTCCAGTTTGCCAAAGTCTGACAGGTTGATTATTAATAGGCACTATGATGGGCAGCAATAACAATCAGTAGTACAGTAATTCAAGTGCACATCACTTCTTCATATACCAAAAAACTACTTTTTAGCAAGCCTACATCATTATGTTATTTTTACAGTTAGGACTGTTAAAAAATCTTTTCTACTTTTATAGTCTCAACACCCACCATGTGCTATTAACTCTAGTACTAATATTATCTTCTAACCTTCAGTTGTTCCACAGTGATCCAGATGGTCCACATTATAATGAACTGAGATTCCTTCATACTACTTGAGGAAACATGAAACATAATCTGCAAACCAGTACCAGTATATGTATTGGAGTTACTGTTCACCTATTCTTAAGTAACATAAATCAATGAAATGAATTTTCTTATTTCATAACACAGTTTTCTTAGGGACACTAGTTGGGGACAAATTGATGAAGGAAAAAAATTTAATAATATTTAAATAGTTGAAGAGCTACATTCTGATCTCAATCCATGCAGCCAGCTCTCATCAATGAGCTGTATATGGGGGTTGAAACTAGTGTGCTGGCTCTGAAACATAATTATATGGTCTTAATGTATGGGAGGTGAATAAAGCCAAGATAAAAGGCAATCATTTCATTCAGAATAAAATATAGCTTAACAAATGAAATTTCAGTCAGTTAATACAGTGTGGGTTGGTACACATGTACACTATATCTACTTTCTTAGAAATTGCTCAGGTGTTGAAAATTGATATGGCACTTTCTGGAAAGTAATTTTTTAAATACAGGTAAATAGATAAGTCTTGGGTAAAGGAAACCTTTTTTCAGTATCATAAAGAGCACCCTGGAAAATGCCTGAATTTTCCTTTTGAATATGCTTACAACCAATCCTATCTTCAAATGCTTTTCCCAGACAGAAAATTTATATTTGAAATTTTTTTAGGAAAAATGCTTTTTTGCTTTTCATTCTAGAATTAAAATACCTGTGAAAGTTAGGTTTATATTGGAAGTCTGACATAGTTTTATGGATAGCAGTTGCAAAAGTGGTACGAAAATATAATATTATAGATGTATTTCTATACCAGTTAATTGGTGCACCAACCCTTCTAAAAGTGTGTTAAAGAAGAAACATGAAATGTAACACCTTGAGTCCATTTTATATTTTAGGGAAAAATCTCTCACAATCTTCAAATTAGCATGAAATGCTAAAACACCAAGATTTCCATAGCAAAGCCACTGGATAAAGCCTCCCACTCCAAAGTGACACAAAAATAATTTCTAAAGCTTTGGAAAGTCAACAAAAACATATGGTACAATAAACTGAACTGAAGACGGGATTGTAACTAGCTTAGAATAACCAATTAAAACTCATGGCTTTGATATGGCAATTATAAACTGTAGGGTTACCACAAAATTTGAAATCATGCTGCATTATGAAATAATACGATCACATATTTTAAAAATTTAATTATCTAAAAAGAGTTGATCTTTTTGACCCTTATCACTTGATATTCATTTATTCAATGGACAACATATTTCTGCTTTTATATTATACTTGAGGTCAATTTCTGTTTCTGTGGTAACTGTCCTACAGGTATGCTTAGCAGCTTTTCACGAAGAAGGGATGAAATACTTTTTGGGACATTTGTTAAATAAAAATTCATACTCTCATATTAAGTATGTGTATCTTTTTTCAGGATTATGTCATAGTGCAATGTAAAATTTAGTTACGGTATTTAGAAGGTCAAAATGTCACATTTTGTGCTGATTTGCATACTTCAATAGTCTGGAGCAGTTGAAACAGCTAAACTGGGAAGGCTGGAATTCCCATAAAAATTATAGGATCTATGTATAACATATGAGAATCAGACTTCTTGAAGTATAAACTACTAGAGGTATTACTAATAACAAAGGGCCAAAAAGAAAAAAAAAACTTCTTCAAATGATTATGGATCAGTACTTTTAGCCAATTTATGATTTTAAATTTTGCCTGATGGAGTTCAATTTCACTCTAGTCGAGGCATTCTTGTTCTTCACCACTGGCCCTTCTGCCATCCATTCTCTTTTCTTTATGGCTGTTGCAAATTTTCCTCATCTCTTCTTCATACTTGATAAAATTCTCCCCAAACCTTGTCCAAGCTTTGAATGGAACAGTAATAGTATTACGGTAAGGTGGCCTCACCTCACTTACCTTCAGGAAAATTCCATATTTATTAGAGCCCACATCAAAGTAGAACCTTTTATTGTCCACTCTGAAAGAAGTCCCCTCTGGGAGTTCAAGTGGGTCATCGTCTCCACCTCTTCGTTCTTCTATGTCTCCTTCACCATAGTCTTCAATCAGCTGAACCAAGGCATCACGAAACTCAATCATTCCTTGTGCAGGGAGGACAATAGTCTGTTCTTGGCCCAAAGTGTGGCCAAAATAACCTATCATTCCAGTCCCCCGCATCATGGTTTGTCTAATTCTTAGGAAGCGACCTCGTTGATTTTCCTTTAGGTCTAGGTAATATTTCCTATTGTCCCTCTCGATATAGTCTGTTTTGAGGACACTGTGAGGATGCTCTTCGGATCCCACTGAGACTGGTGGGGAGGGTGCCGAGTGCTTCTGTCTTCTCCTGGAGCCTTGCTCTTTGCTGTGGCCATGCTCTAGCCTGTGGCCTTTCAGGCCCAGGTGGGCGTAGTGCTCGATGAAGTCCCCTAGACAGTCCTTCAGCTCTGCTGCCACAGACAGGGAAAGAGTCAGTTTACTCTTTCTGATATTGTCCTGCCGGCCTCTCCCTATCCAGACTTCAGCTATCTTTAGGAACCGTCCCCGAGAGCTTTGCTTTACGTCTAGGTAAAACCTCTTTTTCTGGATGTCCACTCGTTTGGAGGCCAGTTCTTGGATTTCAGTTGCGCCCCCAGCCTGATTAGGGGTGGCTGAAGCTGCGTAGTGCGGGTAGTGAGAGTGCTGGGCCTGAGGATAGAGTCTACCCTTGCTTAGGCCAGAGCCCCCTACATTCTTGCCTCCGCGGCCGCGGCCGCCGCCGCCTCCCCTGCGCCTGGCTCCTTCCATCTTCAGCTGCAAGTGACAAACAGACACACGGGGTGGGGTGGGGGTGGGGTGTTGAGAACAATCGCAGACGCCCCC